AGAGAGAGCATGATAAATACATGTAATATTACATTACATTTACATTTTTAGCCCACTATTTAATTTAACATGTGTATATATATAGGCCTATATATCTTATGATTATTCTCTCTTACCGGAGCATAGGAAGCAACACTTCTACTGTTGGACAGTAAGGCGACCACTTCAAAGGTCATTCTTGTGGTCACTGATGGTCAGCCGAACGATGTGAATGGGGCCCGTGAAGCTGCGGTTACTGCCAGGTCTCTTGGCATAAAGATAGGTCAGTTGGTTGGAAGTCTGTTAATTCGTTTGTTTTGATGGATGGAAATGATCATTGTAGAATTTGAGTGATTTGATTTTTTTAGTCTGCTTCGACTATCAAGGTACCCCGGAAATAGCTCACAAGAGAGTGACAAACATACAAAAGAAGTAGGGGGGGAATGACGATAGTAAGGATGAGGAAAGAAAAAGCAGCAGTTCCTCCTATGTTGTTCTGGCACAGTATAAAAGTAAAAGTAAGCATGACATTGAAAAAATCAAACAATTTACAATTCTACTGTGAATAAGAACATATTAATACCCCCCCTCCCCCCTTGGAATTTTGAGCGATTTGATCATATTTGATGGTGGGAATTTGAGTTTGAGAGGTTTGATTTTGGAAAGTAACAGTGGTTCATTTTTGGATTAAAATTTTTTTTTACATACAATATTTAACAACAAACTTATCATTAAACGGGTACATGTACTAGTACTATGTATTTCCCGACAGATACATGGAAGCAAACTTCATGAAAATCTCTAGTTCGGAATCTGACCTACAGATTCAACATGAGTTAAATTAAGGACCGCCTTGACAGACAGCCCTGATTATTTTTTTTTATCCGAAAAAGAAACAAAACAGACAGCAAGGAATGTTAACATTTTTTTTTTTTTTGCCCTTGTTGTTTTCAAATCCCTTTAGCTGCGAGCATTTCGCTCTTGGCAGCGCAATGCCTCCCTCAAGTAACCACATGTCCTTGTCATCTGGTCAACACCAGAGTAGAGCAGGCTTTGTAAGTCTGTAGGTGTGTGTAGGAGCTTGCGTCGAAGAACTGCCAGGTTTGGGAAGTGAAGGAGAAGATGTTCAACGGTCTCCTCGTGGTAGTCACAGTGTTTGCAATGGGGTTCCCACATGGGGTTGATTCTGTTTATGTGCTTGTTGGTGCTTGTTGGAATCTGACCCACAGATTCAACATGAGTTAAATTAAAGACCACCTTGACAGACAGCCCTGATTTGTTCTTTATCCGAAAAAGAAATAAAACAGCAAGAAATGTTTCAATTTTATTTTTGCTCTTAAAGCGTTAATGGGTTAACAATGCATACTGCAACTGCAATATCTCTTAACTAACGGCAAAGGGGCCAAACCACAACGCACAGCACGGAAATCTTCGGGGAATTTTAGCCTAATTTGCAAGTGGTCCATAAATCTAAATTAGGGGAAAACGACGGTAGTCACTAACTGGAAATTGTGAGAGTGTCATTTTTAGAAGCTTGAGAAACTAATAACTTTATTACCTTATTTGTTTGACTGGTGGTTTACTGTTAAGTGTGTTAAGTGTTGTTGAATGGGAAATCTAACAACAATAATCAACCAACAGTTGATCAGAAATATAGTTATGAGCCAACAAGCGTTCAAAATTGGTACCCTCACCATTTTCAGTGACTACCGTCGTTTTCCCCCTGTAGTCTTCATAATGTTGAAGTCTGTATTTCATCAACTGTCCTCAGGGCTTGTGCTCCCCCCTCTCCCTGACGGCAACATTGGCTACCGGCCGGCGGACATGCGGGGGATCCTGGACACTGTCGCAGGGGACGAAATCCAGATTCTGGCATCCCGCGCCGACCTCACGACCGTTCTCCCGTCTTCTTTCTGTCCTACTGCTGGTTCCATTTTTGCCTGAGTAAGGCTTAAAAAGGCACTGTGGTAGTTATGCCTATCTCTCCCATCACTTTTTTTTGTTACTTCGAGGATTGAAAGAGGAAGGCTTAAAAAGGCACAGTTATCTTCCCCCATCACTGTTTTTGTTATTGCGCGGATTGAAGAGTGTTTTCCAAAAATTGGGTACAGATTTGTGTTGTAATAGTAATAGATCTACTAATAATTACTACAATGTATTGTCATATTTTTAACTCCCCCCAAAAAAAGAAAACAAAAAAACCCCCAACATTTTCCATAATACACAAGTGTGCTTTTGTTTTGAAGAGTTATTGTTTTGTTTTGTTTTCTGAACTTGACAACGGATAAAGTTACCTAGTTTTGGAAAATCACCTCATTGAGTTTGATGCCAAGTTCTTTTTCAAATTTAGTGCTTTGATTTTTTAATTTTTTTTTGTGTTTTTTGTTTCCATTTTTTTTTGGTGTTTTTTGTTTCCAGCCAATTCTTAGCTTAGTGTTCATACATGTATTGAGATGTATTGTCGATGTATTGTCGATGTATTGTCGATGCTGCAAGAAAAAAAGAAGTACATGTACATGTTCGGTACTTCAAAACATTTTACCCATCCTGCACACCAACAAGCACATAAATAGAATCAATCCCATGTGGGAACCCCATTGCAGACACAGTGACTACCACGAGGAGACCGTTGAACATCTTCTCCTCCACTGCCCAAACCTGGCAGTTCTTCGACGCAGGCTCCTACACACACATACAGACTTACAAAGCCTGTTCTACTCTGGCGTTGACCAGATGACAAAGATATGTGGTTACTTGAGGGAGGCATTGCGCTGCCGAGAGCGAAATGCTCGCAGCTAAAGGGATTTGAAAACAACAACATCCTGCACAAGAGAAAAACATTTCGTAACTTGCTTGTCATTAGTTTTAGTAACAGTTTTACGGTACTTGCAACACAATAATAAGGTCATATATAAGTGCCGAAAAATAGATGATGTGTTACAAGAGAGTAACATACACAAAAAAGGAGGGGAGAGAAGGACGATACATGTTTGATAGGAAAGAAGGAGCAACCCACACCAGAGCACCCTCCAACCTCCCACTTGCTTGTCTGGGAAGTAAACAACATCACTTGGGGTGAATTAAATAATACATGTATAAACAGGCAAATATTTGGCTTACTTGTATACTCACAGCCCTGTGACTGTGACAAGAGGAAACTTTGTTTGTGTGCGCTGGGCCTAAAGCAGGTAGTTTCCCTACTCCTTACAAATTATTGGTTAGCTGTAATAGCAGTGTCGATCAGGCTATCCTGACTCCTAGTGCTGGGCGGCTAGGTTCCCAAATATTGAAAGCTAGGAATCGTAGGAATCGACTCCGATCCCAATTACTTACTTTCAATCTATGTGATTTCTTCCGGTGGTTACCTGGTTGGCCCCGAACATCTTCAGGATTTAGGACAACCTTGATTTCGGAACACTGTGAGGCACTAACTTTTTTATCAGAAATAAATTCAAAAAAATTTAACCACTGGTTTACGTTAAAAGGAGTCGGAACTTTTCATCCGTAGCTAATCGTGGGAATCGGTTCCAGAATCTAGTCTTCGCCCAGCTCTACTGCCTCCTAGGAGGAATCACCTTAGTCAGCAGTTATCCAGATAAAAGGCCACACTTCACCAGTAACAAATTAGAACAGTAGAAGTAGAAGCACAAAAGAAGTAAACAGAGCAGACTACCCTGTAGCATTAACCCCCCAGCTGTTGTTCTTTTTTTTTTAGTACGGTAAGCGCTTTGTATGGTACTTGCAACACAATAAGGCCATAAAAGAGCCGAAGATTAAAGATGTTACAAGACAGTAACAAGCACAATAAAAGAAGAGGAGAGAATCAGATCAGGACGACAGACATTTGACAGGAAAGAAGGAGCAAACCACACCAGAGCACCCAACAACCACCCACAGACATGACGTTTATAATATCACACACAAAAGACAGGACATATGTGAGGCAGCCTGGAGGAATCAGGCTCTCGTCAAAATAATCAAAATGAAGAAACTTGCAGTTTTCCGCAGGTTTGTGAATTTTTATCGAATTTTTGTTTTTTGGCTCAACACCTTTCATGCCCATCAACAAACTCATTTCTGTGTGAATTTTTATGAAAAACGTTGATTAAAGGCACAAAAAATGTAAATTTTCAGTTACCACGGATTCTTAAGCTAAGGAAGTAACTAATCTTTGCGGCCATTTTCTCTCTAATTTTACCTCTAAAAACAGGTGACCCCTACCTCCTTCTTTCTCAAATATCTCGAATTGTATTCAAGAGAAATGGATATTTTTTTCATCCAAATAAAGACAAGAGAACAAGCTTTAAGATGATACCAATAACTCTACATGCCCAAAAATTGACGAGAGCCTGATTCCACCACGCTGCATCACATATATATGAAGTAAAGAGAAGAGGGACGAAAAATTAGAGCAAACTGGAAAAGCTGAAAGAAATGTGAGGCAGCGTGGTGGAATCAGGCTCTCATCAATTTCTGGGCACATAGAGTTATTGGTATCATCATCAAGCTTGTTCAATTGTCTTTATTTGGATGAAAAAAAATATCTGTTTATCTTAAATACAAGTCGAGATATTCGAGAATGAAGGAGGTGGGGTCACCTGTTTTCAGAGGTAAAATTCGTGAGAAAATGGCCGCCAGAGATTCGTTATTTCCTTAGCTTAAGAGTTCATGGTAACTGAAAATTTACTTCTTTTGTGTGTTTAATCAACGTTTTTCAGAAAAATGAACACAGAAATGAGTTCTTTAATGGGCATGAAAGGTGTTGAGCCCAAAAACAAAATTTTGATAAAAATTCACAAACCTGCGGAAAATGCAAGTTTCTTCACTTCGATTATTTTGACGAGAGCCTGATTCCACCACGCTGCCTCTCAAATTCTTTTTTTTTAAATGGTGTAAGAAAAGTGAGACAGTCCAGAAGACAAACAGACACAAGCAATGCATTACATATACTATTGATATACAGACTGCCTGCTACTAATGATAACAAGCATACGAGCTTCTGAAAGGTAATGTCTAAACTGAACTTGTATGCAAGAGACATGAGTTTGATTCCCATGATTAACTTCCATCAATAAATTATAAAGACTTTTAAAAGCCTTAACAGGCAGCGGCCAAGACGCTACCTATATGCCAACATACTTATTCCGATTAATAGCAAGCAATGTTGTTTTTGAAGACCTATACTGTGTTGACAAAGGCACAAAATGTACACGACAAAATTTGGAAAGCTTAACAAAAACTTTAAGCTGAGAACAAATATACCATACATCAACAAGACAACAATGAAATGTGTATAAATTAATCATTTATTACATTCAAAGGAAGGGAGTATTTTAAGCACACAATGCAACCAGATCTTTTGATTGAAAACAAAATAAAAACTATCCATCCTAGTGAATTTTTAAAGACGTTTCATACCGACCACTTCTATTTCTATTTTCTACATGAAAGTCTTGTTTTTTTAACACCATACGCCCGCTCCCCACAAAATCTCTTCAATACCTGGGAAATATGGCACAGCTGCCTGAGGTAATTTAATAATGATAATAGACCACTTTCGCATCACAGCAGTTTATTGTTTTTTCTCTTCCTTCCTACACAAGAACACAAGGATGGAAACTCGCTACACCTTCATGTCACACACACACATGCACACATCCCCAAACACCAGAAACTATTTTTTCTCCCCACAGTCGTCTATATCGTCCTCATCAATCTGAAAAGAGAAAATAGTTGAGACAAAATGTACATTTATAATATATATTGACTTGTTGACTTACAGCTAAAAAGAATTATCAAATGTCAGTTTCAAGGAATCTGCACTCCATGATGTTACGGTCGACTGACTACCGTAGAAGTGAAAATATGATCAACTCATCTAAAGTTCAACTTAACCATTGGGAAGTGGTGCTAAGACCCGAGAGAAAGATCAACTAATTTAACAGAAGATCAACTCAAACAAGTTCAACACAAGTGGAGTCGATTGTATTGAAGTCATTATTATAAGAAAAGTACATCAAGTCAGCACTAAAATAACGTTCCTGCACAACACAGGTTTTTTTAAGGACAACTGCAAACAGTGAAAGCAAAGCTGAGTAAATCAGAAAGCACAGAAAAAGAACATCACAGCTGCTTTGGACAACAACATGAAAGAACAAAAAAAGGCCAAAAGAATTGGATCAAGTCAAACCTTTAGTTTACCATGGATTAATTAATATGCTGAAGGGAGAAAGAGAAAGAAGGAGAGAGAGTGAGAAAGAGTGAAGGAGTGACTGACTGACAGATCGACTAACTGACCAACAGACAGACGGACGGACGGACGGACGGACGGACGGACAGACAGACAGACAGACAGACAGACAGACAGACAGACAGACAGAGTAGAAAAAAAAATTCAGAGAATGATTTAGCATTCCAAACCAACCAATATTCAAATACTTACAATCTTCCATTTCTCTGGAAGAATATCAAATAGGTCATCTTTCACATCTCCCTGAATGACAATTTCATCATCACCACTGACAGACGAGCCACAAGAGAATCTGCCAGCAAAGAATTTACTTGCATCCTTCAAGTCAATTTCTGAAAGCAGGAAAGGAAAGAATTAGTATGGAACAATACCAACATTTAAGCAACATAATGATGTTTTTATGACTCCTCTTTATGCACTTTAAACCAAGTCTTTAACCATTTAGCTTCTAGGGATTTACGCTGATGCATGCCCCGAAAACCTGGAAAAAGTAGATCATCCACTAAAAACATCATACATATGGTTGGCTTTTTTAAAATTCAACTAAAATAAAAATCTTCTGGAAAAAAACGCAACTGTATTAAATTAGGAAAAGAATACCGCTTCCAGCAAACCAGTTTCCACTGCAATACAGTGAGGGCAAGTTATATATTTCTCCCATTATAGTTGTGACAATCAGGTTTTCATTAATTACCCCATCTAGTTCATTAAATTAAAAAATAACCTGCTCTTCTAGTGACTTAGAAATATGATGTTACAGAGGACATAAAAATTAACTTTCAACAGGTATTCGTTTGATCAAGAATGCTTCATGAGTTGAATTTAATGTATTTTCAAAGTTTCCATGTATTTGTCCAACTCATTTGCACCCTCCATATCGTCATACTTATTAAAATCACACACACACTATTTCTGGGTCAATTTCGACCTTTAGAACTCGACTTTCTCTTTATAGCCTGGTTTTCAGTCAATTCCAATCGGACATTCTCTCTTGACCTCATAGAAATACATACCATGGCGGTGGAAATAATGAAACAAAAAATTAAATACAGAAAACAATTTTGTTTCTTAAGCAACATCTGCCCAAGGATCCTCCACCCCGTCCCAGCCGCCGCTCACCGTAAGAGGCAAGGCCCACAACTATGGTGACCTTCTTCTTCTTGCCCCTTGTCTGTGTCCACATTTTGATGCCCTGCGGCTCCACTTTCTTTTTGGTCTTCATCATGGCCTTCCCTCCTCGAGTCTGCCGCTTCTTTTTCTCCTCGCCTTCTGCCAGATCTTTGCTGCTTTCTGCTGACCCCTCCTCTCCCTCCCCTGAGTGGAGATGGAGAAAAAAGAAGCCAAAATTCAATCCTTGTATAAAAATGAGTAAAAGTAGAAGTTCAGCTAATAAACACATTTTAATTAATAAAAACAAGTTCAGATAATAGAGTGTAGTGACACATAAAAGGAGGAGCAAACCACACCAGAGCACCCGCCAACCACCCACGCAAATAACCACGTTTTAATTAATAAAAACAAGTCCAGATAATACAGTGTAGTTACACATAAAAGGAGGAGCAGCAGACAAAACCAGTAAACCAATTACCGCAGTCCAGAATTATTCATTTTATAAAAATCATAAAATACGTGAAAAGCAGAAATCAAGAGCAATGCCCAAATTCTCAGAAGACTGAAAAGAAAAAAAGTCCAAAGTGAAAGCGAGGGACAGTCACAAAATAACTGGGTGTCACAGTCACAGGAAACACCTCATCAGGACAACAATCACTGTGAAGAGGTCACATTTAAAAAATAGGTGCACAACGACATTTTTGTGAAATTTTCGCAACAACAGTAAAGCTGTCAAGAGAAGGTGCGTTAAATGCAATAAATCAGGATTGGCCACCTCAGTTACTCTCTCTCATGAGGGTAAAAAAAGGAACAGCAAAGCTGGATATATGGGAAAGGGGGAAGACGGGTTTTAATGATCCTCCAAGCTCCTCCATGTACGGACAAAACTTGGCAATCAACGGGACAAAAGAAGCCAGAGAGAAATATAATGAATATTCGGAGTAAACACAAATTTAAATAAATGTCTATCATACCTCCACGTTATACAAAACTTAACATACAGTCTAGCATGCACAGAGCGAAATCGGCAACACATGGAAATCTTTTCATCATGTATGAAATAAATCAGGTTCAAAATGTGTGTTCTTCACTAATAGCATTCTAGACTATAATATAACCAATAATATTTTAACATTTTTTTCCCCCAGAAAGGGACAGCTTTCCACGTTTTGCCGTTTATCGCTGTTTACATACAAGCAAAACACACACACACAAACATTGGTTACCTTTGTCAACTTTCAGCTTTTCAAACTCAGATGGCATGTTCTTCTCAAGCCAGGCCTTGCATTTTTCATAGTTGGGATAGTTCTCACAATACTGCAGCGTAAAACAAAGGAGCATGACAGTAATAGATGTGTCAACATTCAGGAAAAAATTTGAACTTATAAATACTTTATCCCCATTACAAATTTTTTTTAACAAGCCACCTACAAACAATTCTTTCCTTTCTTAAGGGAAAAAAGTGACATAACAGATAGAACAAATATAGAACATCAAAAACAAATTATGATAATATCAATTATCCCTTCAGGTATTTCTATAGTTAATGACTAGTAGTATAACACTTATTTTATTTTTGTAAAATAAGTAATGTTTCGTACTACTCCCATACACAAGTTCAGAAATTTGAAACGGATGTCTCTGTTGAAGTTTGTTTAATGCTACGTCACACCGGTATTCTCATTCTTCACATTCCCGCTCAAATGGGGCTCTATGTACTTTATAATTTGTATAACAGAACTAACAGCACGATTTAAAGCTAGAGCACTTCAAACTAAACTTTTAAGATAAGATAAGATAAAGATAAGATAGTACTTTATTATCCCAGAGGGAAATTTTCCTTGGCTGTACAGGACCGTAAAAACACATGCAGGTATACATAAAAAAAAATTAAATCATATATATTACTCTCATTAAAATTCAATATGAAAGGAGAAGTAAAGCTGACAAAATGTACATATCAAATGCATCATTCAACCACATACAGGAATTTAAATACTAGACCTTTGGAGTTATATACAGATACATACTCTAAGAGCAACACACATCTATGCTCATTCTGACAAAAGCCTTATGCTAGATGGTAAAAAACTTCTTTTATATCTTTCTTCCTTTGTTTTTGGAGGCACATATCTGCCGCTGCGTGATCTGACAATTTGAGTGGAAAAAGGGTGTGATGGGTCGTTTATAATGCTTTTTATCTTTTTTATATATATGCGTGGTGTTATACAATTCATCCATTCTTATAAAATCATATCCAAAGATCTTGCTGGCTTTCTTAATGGTTCTGTCAAATTTTTCTTTATCTTTCACCTTACAATTCCCACCCCAGCAGCAAATACAAAATAATAGCACTTTCAATCATAGAAGGGTAAAAAAGGGACATAATCTTATTGTCAACACGGAAACTTCTTAATTTCCTTAAAAGAAACATTCTTTGATTTACTTTTTTATGCACAAGAGCAACGTAGGGATGCCAGTCAAGTTTGTGGTCGATTGTTACACCAAGATACTTGTAAGAGCTTACCACCTCCCCCTCTTCATCTTTAATAAATAATGGTTGCAATTGGTCTTTTTTTTACTCTAAAGTCTATTATTAATTCCTTTGTCTTTTTTACGTTTAGTTTAAGGAAGTGGTTGTCACACCAATTGGTAAATAGATTCACAGCGTCCCTGTATTCATTCTCATTTGTTGTTATGAGGCCTTGTAAAGTGGAATCATCCGCAAATTTTATTAGTTTGATGGTTTTGTTATCAAAAGTGCAGTCGTTGGTGTAGAGCATAAACAAGACAGGGGAAATTACACAGTCTTGGGGAGCACCGGTGTTCGTGAATATTAGGTCGGATTTTACACCATTAAATTTTACATATTGAGGTCAAATGGTTAAAAACTCAAGAATCCAAGCTATAATGTTCTTGTTTATGTTCATGTTAATTAATTTTGAAACCATTATAGTTATGTGCGGTTGGATTGTGTTGAATGCGGATGAAAAATCAGCAAAAAGTATCCTGCAGTAATTTCTTGGTGTGTCTATGTGTTTGTAGATGTTATCTAAGAACACGAGAATGGCATCCTCCATGCCCCTCTTGGCACGATAGGCAAATTGCATGTTGTCCTGTATGTCTTCTGTTGATTTTTCTCAGTTCTTTCAAAACCAGTTTTTCTAAACATTTCATGAGGACTGATGTTAAAATCTGACAGTTATTTAATTAATAAAAACAAGTTCAGAAAATACAGTGTAGTTACACATAAAAAATCTTATTATCTAAACTTTTCCTTTTACCAATTTAGGCCTGGTTAAAGTTTATTAGTAGCTTTCCTTGGTCTCTGAGTTATTAACCCTCCTAAATGAGACAGAAACTAAAGAGAGTCACAGAGACCATCATCTAAAATGCAAATACAGAGTAGAGTGGTTATTTCATTTTAAAGAAAGAATATAATGTAATACTATTAAAATTTTTAGCTGTTGGGTCATAATCTCTATAACATTGTTATTTTTCAAAACTGGGTTAGGCTCAAGATTGATCGCTGTTGGCTCCATCGCATGGCACGTATTTGTCACATTTTTAGTCATTTGAAAATACGCCATGCGTCACATTTTTACTTACTTCCACTGGAACACCACAATCTGAAAAGAGATAAAAATATATAGGTCTATCATAAACCCAAACAGGACTCTGACAGGATAAAAAATGCAACTTTAGCATGACTGGATCCAGTGAGAAGATTCACGCCACTGATTATTATGTGATCTAATTATTGCAGGAAGAAAAGCAGAGGCTAAAGAGTTTCACTTTCCAGTATGCCTGCAAGAAGAAATTAATAATTCCGTTCAATTTCATAAAAATTGACGTTTCAAACCTTTCATTAAGTTTATATACCATACACACATGAAAACACTTTCACCACAACTTCAAATTTCATAGGTACTAACGACACAACCGGAAACTATCACGTACTTGCTTTAGATTTTTTTTACAGGTCTAGACTTTTCAGGTACATATGGAAAGACAGGCACAGACAGCCTAAATTAGAAGTTTAGATTTTAAAAATATGAATGATAAAGAAAAAGAGCAGTATCTGAGGGGGAAAATCTACAGTCTTCAGGTCATTCTAGATTCTGCTAAAATATTAAAATTTTTGAGAATGCGTTGCCCTGACCAATGGTGTACTACAATTGCTTTACCATTATATTTAACCCTAACCAAACATTAAACTGAAAGACCAGTTCCTTCTATTCTTTTATAATTTCAACTGTAAAGACAGGAGAACAGCATGTGTTTAGACAGGGGTATAATTGTCATGAATATAATTATCGGAAGTGCCTATTTGCAACGCCGCATTGTGATTAGTGACAGTGCTAAATAAAACGCCACGTGTTAAATATCAAGCTTAATCTATCTTTCATTGTTGGAAGTTCTGGTGGCCGAATGTACAGCGTGTCTGCGTTTGAAGTCAAACCAATATTTTAAGAGCGTGGGAATGAATCCTGGTCCAAGAAGGTTTTTTTGTGGGTTTTTTCTTCTTTTCCTTTTCCCGACTGAAAAAACAATGTTTTCCCATAATTATAACTTGTTGCTTTGTAGTTTTTCATGTAGGCCTAGTGACTAAGCATGCACATTCTGGTTTTGTCCCCAAGAGAAGCTTTCACCTACAAAGTAAGTCTATACTTTTCCTTTTACCAATTTAGGCCTGGTTAAAGTCTATTAGTGACTTGGCTTTCCTTGGTCTCTGAGTCTAATTATTTTTTAAATTTATTTTAGACTCAGGAGCAGAAAAAAAAACCTTCCGGGAACAGGATTCGAAGCCACGCTGGAAGCACGGAACATTAGAGAACATAGACAGCTTGTTATATGTTCTCTAGGCCTAACGTTACAGAATGTAGACACTACCCCCTGCTAATTAAAAAGCGGAAGCCTAGATCAGGCGACATCATGTGTGATGGTAAAATATACAGTGCACGCAGAGATAATATTTTTAGGTATTGTATGACAACACTGCGGACATGAAATAGTGCTTAGGCCTACTGAGTTGCACCGCCTCGTCATTGTGATCCAAGCGTCTTTATACTTACTTGCTCAAACTCAAATGATTATTGATAATGAGAGATGAACAAGACTACTTTTGTGCAAACAATGTCAGAAATATTTGTTCGATCTAGATCAAATCTACCCAATATTGATCCAAATAAGACAAAGCCACAAAAAAAGGGAGTCAAATCCTAGGAGGTTTATCAAGAAACTGACAAAACTTCCACAATTCAGGAAGAACAACAATAAGTAGAAATGATGGCTACTAGTACTGGCGTTTCAAATAGCATGGGAGCTATTCAGAACGCAGCGTTGCAAATAGCGCCTGCCATAATTATTTGCAGACAAAAAGTGAGCTGAGTTCACAGACCTTCACAGATGCTTGCTCATAGTGATCTCCCATGACTATAAAAGCAAAGAAAATCGTGTCTTTAAATGAAACTTTTGATTTTAAAGTACAGAAAATGAAGAACAACCTGAATTTGGAGAATTCTTTTGTACCACAATCTTACCTCCACAATACAGAACTTGGAGTGGGTATTTCACCCCTTTCACTGGGCCACTGTACTCAAGAAATGCTTTCGGGGGAGCCACTTCTGCCATGGCGGTTTTATGGCAATCTATTCAATGAGAACAATACAAATGAACGTTTTTAATGTAAATAGAAAACAATTTAGTAACATGACATGAATTTCAATAAAATACAAGCAAAAGTGAGGCATCGTGGTGAAATCAGGCGCTCGTCAAAATTGTGATATCAAAGAAAATTGGAATTTTTCTGACCGAAGGGCATTTTAAACAAAAATTTATTTTATTGGCTCAACACAAAACACACATATTTCTTTGTGGATTTTACTGAAAAATATTGCTTAAATCTACAAAAAAAGTCAATCTTCAGTTTCCAAGGACACTCAGGCTATGGAAATTACCAACTTTGACGGCCATTTTCTCGCTAATTTCACCCCTGAAACCAGGCGACCCTAACCTCCCTCAATCCCAAATATTTCTAAATATTCTATTTAAAATAAATGGATATTTATAATCTTTTCACCAAAAGCAAGGCAAATGTACAGTCTTTAAGATGATACCAATAACCCCATATGCCCAATAATAGACCAGCGCCTGATTCCACCACGTCGCGACACAAATACCAAATCACAATCTGCCACTCAGGGGAACTTCTGTGGTGGTACTATCCGCTGCCCGAAGAGTTAGCCTACAGAGTTGAAGATAAAGTTAAAGGAAGCGAAGTGACTATTCGGACTTGAGTCTTATTAAACAAAAACTATATTCGGACTCTGAATAGAGTCCAGCATGACGTCACTCCCGACCCTTGTTCCTAAATATTTACAACATTTATGAAAAAAATGTCGATTATAATGATAACATTTGAGACGTGAGCTTTAATATCCAGTTAAATTTCTCTAAATTGGCCTTCCCTGAATCATTAGTATGAACAGAACAACAAAGTTGTAGTAGTAGTATAAGGTTTTACGGCGCAACAAAGTTGAGTTGACCTTGTAATGGGCAAAGTTAAATATTAACCAATGAGATGGCGTGTAGCGATCACCCACTCTTGGTTTGCTGGGGGAAGAGGTGTTGGGAAGAGGCCAAGGCTGTCAATTGCGATGTGATTTAAAAAAAAAATTAATTACTGAAAAACTGTAACAAACACCAAAATGAAATGTAACATGTGGAAAGACAAATGGTGGTGGAATTAATGGTGGTGACACAGTTACACAGTCGTAGTACGTAATTCGAGTTCTAATTCTGGTTTTACGTAAAATTCCCCGACGACAGTTATATCAAGTAACCTCCTTACACTCACATTATAACTCATTTAGAAGCCGAGCCCAAATAAATGAAACATCTTTTTTTCAAACCCGAGTCAGCACAGAAAAAAAAAAAATTTTCAGACTCGAGCCCGAATAGATAAAAAATCTTATTGGACTCAAGTCCAAATAGAGCTGGCCTAACTAAAGGAAGACACATCTTTGAAAGGTCCTGAATTCCAATACATGAGAAGATTGAGATTCTAATGTTCAGCTTAATATCAGCATTATTTAGGGAAGAATTCAATAAAAGTGTAAAATTTTCTGGTTTACACTGGGTATCACGGTAAATGCACACCGGGTGAGAAAAGCCAAAAGGCTCGCCCTCTCACCCTGGGTGAGGAGCCTACAACTGAGCTTTTCTGTGAGAATAGCAGTGGCCTTAGGGTTGTCTCTTCTTTATTGTGTTTGTTATGGTGGTCACTCATTATGGAAGAGCTTCCTTATAATAAAGTAAAGGTCTAATTAAAGGAAGAGGCTAGCTGTACTTAATGACGGCTAGACTGGCAGTCTAGCTGTACTTTAGTACGGCTAGATTGGTTGGCTAGCTACTAGACAGCTGGGTTAGCCGTACTTATTCTTAATATGATGGCTAGACTGACCATAAAAAAATAGGCCTACTGAATTGTAAATATATAAATTTTTAGTTTGCCAGCACAGTACCTAAAGTATTTGTATTTGAGATGAAACCAGGTGCCTTAATGACAGTGCAAGTATTTTAAACCTCCTGTTTTCTAATGTTAATAGGGCCTAAAGATAAGTACGGCTAGACTGACAGTCTACCCGTACTTAAGTACG